AAAGGGTTAACATCGTCTCCAAACCCTATGGTCCAAACCTAGTGCATTTAATGCACAGACAGGCGCATCTCACCCATGGGTGTTGTGGCACCCATACTTTCACTGAAATGTACACTTTTTACTAGTGGAGTCATTAAAAGAAACTTATCGGTCAAGTAAGATTTATTAAGTGACAACTAAGCCAATCATATCTATTTGATTACAGTTGAAGCACAGTAAGGTTACATTTGCATTTAATCCTCCTGTCACTCATCACTGAGTCAGAGCTCAGAGCTCACACATGGAAACATGCTGCATGTAGCATCCTTCTGAAAGAGAGTAAGTCACCCAAACAGAGGTTTTTAAGATAAATCCACCTCACAAACCAACGTAAGTGTAACATTTTCTCCTCTTGGTTGTTATTTTAGCTGTATGTATTTACTCCCATAACTTTACGATGTAGCAGAAGTCCCCTTTGCAGTTTTTTCTAAATAAAAGCACATTTTAGGTGAAGACCGGAAATAAAGAGACTGAGGCGTAAGGCAATAAGAAAAGCAAAATAATGGCATCACTAAGAACCATTTTGAATCTAATTTCTAGAGCTAACTCGGTTACTCACAATGGATGTTCATAAAGTTAGTGTCTAATTATCTTTTGTAACTTTGTCTTGTTATATGATGTTTCAGCTAAACTTAGTTATTGGACATTAAATGAAACAGAATGTGTTGATTTCCTAGAGGGTGGTAATATACTAGCACAGAACACACACACTTTTAAGATCACTGCTCCACCCCTGTGCACAGAGTCTATGCACACACAGAAATCAGCACAATATCCTCCCAATCAACAGCCAAATAGAAAATATATTCTCTCCACCTATTTTAATGTGAACACACACATACGCACAAACAGACAGAAAGAGAAGTTCACACTCCAATCAGCCGGCAGTTCTAAACTTTATCAGGAATTTTTCTGTTCTTTTCTCTAATCTTGCTACCTGAATGGGTACAGACTATCCTCGCTGGTCTCTCCACTTCTTAAAAACAGATACTATATACACTTATGCTATGTATAAACGTCCTTTATTAGGCTCATGTGTATTTATCAGATTAAACAAACATCCTCTGAGGGGCTCATAGATTTTTATCAAATTTAATTTATAAAGTCCCCTGAAACAAAGGGCTCATAGGTTTTTAACACTGATGAAGATCAGATAAGTAAAAGTCCTCTGAAACAAAGGCTCATGTTTTTTATCACTGATGAAGCAAAAATGTCCCCTCTTATAAGTTACTAAATCGCCTTTTAACCAATCACCTGCTACATATGCCTATTTATTAATACATCTATTCTATTTATCAATCACACATATACAAGAACATTTCCGGATCAAATACACATCTTCACACCACACAGACCTCTCAAAACCATCCAAATCACAACACAAGAGACAAGACACAGACATAGACAGAGACCATCCAGCAGCCACACACACTTCAGTTCAGATTTTGAAGTCGACTCATTTATAATTTTCCTCTATCAAATCTTTTACTTCTGTCAAACTTTTAACAAATTGTCTTTTAACAAATTACTTCACACTGCATGCTTCAATGCACACTTTTTCCTTTACTCAGCGCTTTTTTCCCACTTTTCTCAAAACTCTTATCTTTATTCCTTATCTTCACTTTTCATCTTTTTACTTCTCATCTTTACATTTCTCATCTTTATTTCTTCTCTTTTATTTTCCTACATTATACGTTTATCATCTATTCAAATACCCTGGCCAGGGATCCCCTTTGTTTTATTTTTACTCAAATTTGACTACTTCTTAAAGCCAACTTTCACTTCAGTGTCTAATTTACACATGACTTACTGTTAAGAGGATATGGGCCCTGTCCTTGTTAAACTTGCATGGTTATTTAGCTAACTGGTCTCGTTACTAGTTGCGCTTATGCTATCATTACCTTTCAACTTTATTCATCTCTTCTTCTCTTATTTATCTCTTCTTTATTTTATTCCCCTTTATTTATATACTTTTTAACTCAATAAACCCCAATTTAGACAGAGAATTACTCCAACATCAACACATCATTGCACTTCAGTTCTTTGACAGTGCGGCCAAAATTGCCGATAGACGACAGAAACAGCTCCGCAATATGTGCAGAAAAAAAAGAAAGAAACACTTACGAAGTGATGGAAATAATAAACAAGCTGTGGTCCCCTGCAGAAGGCCCCAACTGATCCTGTTCCGTGACGCCAAAATTGATGTGGATTTCCTTGTTGTTGATATGTTGGATGATGAAGAAATTCGCCGTTGAGACTGACTTGCTTTCAAAGAGTATAATTTTATTTAAGCAAGAAACAGAATCACTGGTCACGTCTGACCAGGAGGATCAAGAAGCCAATAATGATCTCTCTCGAACACACAGAGACAATTGCTTATATGCATCCAAACATCCGCTTTTCGTCATGGGTCATAAAACATCACGTTACACAACCACATGTGGCAATACTCCTATACAATACCTCAATTTAAACATTCCAGCTAAGGGGACTCCTAAATCTCCTTCAGATACTATCTCCAGACGCACCCATTGTAAACTTATATTATCTCTGTCCTGGTTACATCAGACACTTCACCTACACTTACCTTCCACAGTTAGTAGGACAGTGGCCAGCAGAGCACAATCTGCCACATGAGGTCAGGTTTTCTTGTACTAAATGAGCTCTGCCTCTGTGGCCAGTAAAGTCAGAGTTTAAATAAAAGACCCTCAGAGATGGAGGTTGGACAATCTGTCCCAGCAGACAGAAAAAGAGATACAGCAGGTAGTGAAGGTCCCTTCACAATTCAACAATGGGTTCTTAGCTTAAAGTTTTAAACTTGATGTCAGCCCCATGTGTATGTGTTTAACAATCATAAAATGTTGTTTGGATTCTGATTTAAAACTATTACAAGTTGCTACCCGACCAGTCCAACCTGTCCAGTCAGTCAGTGAAGAGAATTATGGCTTACTTAAGAGACTCCTCCCTCTACGGGTGCTGAGAGTTGGCAGCCTGTTGCAGCAGCTCCAACTCTTTTTTTCTTCATTTCGTCTATTTTCTTGCTTTTATTAAGTATTTTTGCACTGTTTCGGTGTCTATTGCGGGACACTGCTGCAGCGTGTTAGTTGCGGTATTACTCGTGGAATTACGTGTTTCTTTCGGGACTTTTTTTTTTACTGTTGGAATGATTACGTACACTCGTGAGGAACTACTGAGCTTCAGGCATGGAGTCGGTGTTCCTCCTACACGCTTCCCTAAGGAGTTATGGAGAGGCGTCCACCGGGGGAAGAAAGCCGGCGCTAAAGTCGGGGAGCGGATTGAGAGAGACAGGAAATTTAAACTCTTTCTACCGTCGGTCATCATGGGGAACGTCAGGTCACTCGCCAACAAAGCGGACGAACTTACAGCTTTAGTAAACAGCCAGAGTGTCTACAGGGAGTGCAGTTTACTTTGCTTCACGGAGACATGGCTACATGGGAATATACTGGACAGTCACATCGATCTGGCTGGCTTCACGCTGGTACAAGCGGACAGGGGGAGAGAGAGCGGTAAGAAGAGAGGAGGAGGTCTTGCTGTCTTTATTAACTCTAAATGGTATAATCCAGGACATGTAACTGTGAAGGACTGTGTCTGTACCCCACACGTTGAAATGCTGGCGGTGGGATTACGCGCGTACTATCTGCCATGGGAGTTCTCACATGCCATTGCTGTTGCTGTTTACGTCCTACCATCAGCTGTAGCCGCTAGCGTGAGTGACGTCATCCACACTATGATGGCGTGATTACAAACCCAGCATCCCAGCGCCCTCATACTGATCAGCGGGGACTTTAATCATGTCTCTCTCTCCCCTGTCCTGACGAACTTTAAACAGTATGTGCACTGTGCTTACAAGAGGGAATAAAACCCTGGACCTCCTGTATGCCAGCGTGAAGGGAGCATACAGCTCTTCTTCTCTCCCCCCTCTTGGGGAATCAGACCACAACCTCATCCACCTTGAGACCACCTACAGGCTCCTGGTGAAGCAGCAGGGGGCCAACACAAGGACTTTGAAGGTTTGGTCTGAGGATACAGAGGAGGCCCTGCAGGAGTGCTTCAATGTCACAGACTGGGAACTGTTTGAGGAATATGGTGATGACATTGAAGGCCTCTCTCACTGTATTACAGAATACATCCATTTCTGTGAGGACACCATAGTCCCTACCAAAACGGTCCGCTGCTTCTCAAATAACAAACCATGGATCATTAAAGACATTAAAGCTCTCCTCAACAGAAAGAAGAGGGCCTTCGTGACTAGGGATCATGAGGAGCTCAAGGCTGTCCAAAAGGAGTTAAAGAAGAAGCTGAGAGAGGCCAAGAACAACTACAAGGACAGGATTGAGGCCAAGATGGGACAGAACAACTCAAAGGAGGTGTGGAATGGCATGAAGCAGATGACGGGCTGCAGCAGGCCGGAACCCAGAATTAAAGGAGACCCAGTATTTGCTGCTGAGTTGAACCTATTTTTCAATAGGTTTGACACATCCCCTGACCCAGTGAGCTCAAATAGTGGGTCTAGGTCTCCCCCACCACCTCAGCCCCCATTCACACCTCTGCTGGAGACTCTGCTCTTCCTCTTCCTCCCATCAAGGTCCTGACCACCCCCCCCCCTCTCAGCTCCTCATCAGCAGCTTCAAAGGACAGCCCACCCTCACCCTCACCCCCCTGCTCCCTTCCTTCAGGTACCTGCATGACAATAGACAGTTCCCCACACCCCTCCCCCGCTCACTGTCCCACTCTCACTCTTACTACCAGCCAGGTACAAAGAGAACTCTCCAGACTCCACATCAGAAGGAGTCTTTCAGCACCTCTTCAACCTCTCCCTGAGGCTGATGAAGGTGCCTGACCTGTGGAAGACCTCCTGCATCGTCCCGATACCAAAGAAAGGTCGTCCCAGCGCTCTCAATGACTGTGGCCTGTGACCTGTGGCACTCACGTCACATGTCATGAAGACATTTGAGAGGCTGGTTCTCCAGCACCTGAGGACCCTGCTCACTGCTTTCCAGGATCCGTTGCAGTTTGCATATCAGAGGCACATTGGTGTGGAGGATGCTATCATCTTCCTGACCCACAAAGCCCTGTCACACCTGGAGACGAAGGGAAGCACTGTGAGAGTCATGTTCTTTGACTTCTCCAGTGCTTTCAATACCATCCAGCCCTGCCTCCTGAGGGACAAACTGCTGGATATGCAGCTGCGCCCTGACATCTCAGCCTGGATCTTCAACGACCTCATGGGCCGGCCACAGTATGTCAGAGTGGACAGCTGTGTCTCTGATGTAGTGACGGGCAACACAGGAGTACCTCAAGGAACTGTTCTGGCGCCTTTTCTCTTCACTCTCTTCACATCAGACTTCAGGTTTAACTCTGGTTCCTGCCACCTCCAAAAGTTTTCCGATGACTCCTCCATTGTTGGGTGCATCACTGATGACGACGAGAAGGAGTACAGAGGACTGTTAAAGAGCTTCGTCACATGGTGTGAAAGCAACCACCTGAAGCTCAACATCAGCAAAACAAAGGAGGTGGTAGTGGACTACCGGAAGAAGAAGAGGCCCCCTGCCCCAGTCAGCATCCAGGGGGAAGAAGTAGAGAGGGTGGACTCATATAAGTACCTTGGGGTCCACATCAACAATAAACTGGACTGGTCTCACAACTCTGATGCCCTCTTCAGGAAGGGACAGAGCAGGATGTTCTTCCTGAGGAGACTCAGATCGTTCAGTGTCTGCAACAGACTCCTGAAGACCTTCTACCAGTCTGTGGTGGCCAGTGCCCTCTTCTTTGCTGTGGTGTGCTGGTGGGGTGGTATTAAGACTGGTGAGGCAAACAGGCTGAACAAGCTGGTGAGGAAGGCCCGCTCTGTAGTGGGTCTTGATCTGGACAGTTTGGAGACAGTGGGTGAGAGGAGGATGAAGGACAAAATCTTATCCATCCTGGATAACTCCTCTCACCCTCTACATGGTGAGCTGTGGCAGATGGGCAGCTCCTTCAGCCAACGCCTCATCCCCCCCAGGTGCAAAACAGAGCGCTTCAGGCGCTCCTTTGTGCCCACTGCCATAAGACTATATAACAGCAGCCGATGACAACAATAACAGCCCATCCTTGACACTAAACTTCACCCCCATAAAACACTACCCACATGACCTGCTTCATTATTATCATTGTATTATTGTATTATTATTATTACTTTGGTCAATATATATATACATATATATTGTACATTCTATATATTTTTTATTATATTATTATACTAGTCTATATTATATACCATTTCATTATATTACACTATATTGTTCATATTGCACTATATTATATTATATTATATTATACTACATTATATTATATAACTGCACTCTGCATTACTGTGGTACAACACTGCCTCTCTTCTCTGCTGTTTACATTACTTGCTGCTATTTATTTATCATACCAAGTCACTTTAATCATCACTTGTCACTTTATCTTGTCATTATCTGGTCATTCTCTTCAAATACTGTCTCAAAACTTCAACATTCATTTTTGTACTGTATATACCCCCTGTTTTTAATTTTAATTTTAATTTTAATTTATCTTATTCTATTCTGTTTAATGTGTATTTGAGCTTTCTTGTCTGTGCTGCTGTAACGCCCGAATTTCCCCTCTGGGGATCAATAAAGTACTATCCTATCCTATCCTAGTGCAGATTGTCATTTAAAGGGGCAATATGTAACTCTGACACGTAGGGTTTGAAATTGGTACTTAAAACTAAATTGAAAACATAGGAGAGAGATGCCCCCCCTGTCCCCATTGGTTAGTTGTTTCTATTTTAAATATAAATTTATCTTATCCTTGGGTGCATCAGTGACTCACTTCCCTTTGTTTTATATAATGGTCTTTATAAGTGATCATTGCAGGGGCGGTGGTCAGTTTGTATGTCCTCATGTAGGCCCCATGTACATAGGCTACAGTCCCCAAAGCAGGCAGCTTTGGTTTAAATCCAACCTGTGGCTCCCGGCAGCATGCCATTCCCTACTTACTCACTCTCCCTGATTTCCAACTCTATCCACTGTCTTCTCTGTCATAAAGATATAATTATATAAGTGCCAGGCATTCATATGAACATGGTTGTTGTTGACAGAAAGGTAAAGCACAGAAAATATTTGTAATATATTGAACAATTAAACAGAAACATTTTGCTGGCTACAGCAGGAGAAAGGCATCTCAGCCTCACCAAGTTTATTATGTAGACAAATATTTTTTATTGTTATAATGTTCCAATTTTTATTTTTATTGGAGAAGCAGAGTAAGGTTTTCTGGCACAACTTCACCGACTACCAAGGTGCACGGAGAGTGATAGACTTGAAAAGGTTAAAATACTCCAGCAACACTTGTAGTATGAAGATCAATTGTATTAACTCTCTGAGACCGATGCTGCTTGTGGCCTTCATCAGGGTCCTCCTCAGAAGGCTGTAAGCCAGAAGGTGTCGGTCTAATAGAGTTAATACAATTGACCTCCATAGTTTTTTATTCAGCAGACTGTAAGATAAATTCACAACTCTTTAACAGATTGAACATGTATTCTTGGTTGGGCTAGATATTTTCATTCCTTCCTCAAAGGTGCCGCTGAAAGCTAAACAAGGAAGTGTCAAAGCATACCACGTGATGCGTCTGAACAAATCACGTTATCAGATACCAACACAAGCCAATGAGATTACATTCTTAGTGTTAAACCCCCCTTTGAACTTTCACTTTTCATTGCTGGTAGAAAGGAAGTGTCCTTATTTGGGTTACATAGTGTTGTGCAGGAGAGAGAGCTTTGCAGAGATATCAGTCATGACGGGCATTACGCCGCGATCAAACAAAAATGTATTAAAGTATACACATAAATGTATAATTTGGATATTTGCTTTATGGTAGTTTGAAATATTCAGGGAGTGAACTAGCCCAAAATCTCAAAAATTGACCAATGCATAAAACATTTATATTTTTGCCTGCTGTGTCTCACCTTAGGATGACTATGAGTTATTATTATTCACTCATAAGGTTTTAGATAGGGTTATGATTTTTCATGGAATATTAGGATCCATGTTAATGTGGTTAGTACGTGAATTATACATTGTCGATCCAAACATGTGCATCTAAAACATTTGATCCAAAGCTTCCACTGTTCACCAGTCCATATCAGTTCTATGTTTCTCCAAAACATTTGAAGAAGTCACACAAGCTGCACAAAGAAAAAGCCAAGAGTTGCTTTACAATGACACATCATGCTATTTCTTATTGTCTGCAAACTTTTGTTGAGTGTTCTGGAAACAGTTTGTTATGATCAAAAGTTGTAGTGTGTGTCTGATGTAATAATCAGCGTGACATAAACATCAGTAAGAGGTGTGAACGATGGTGTGGTGGGGACTCAGGCAGTCAGCCTCCTCTCCTCACTTCTCACACCTCCAAGTACAGGGAGCTCATTACCGCTGGCTGTACACTAGTGCACCGTCAACCAGGGAACTCATTATTTTCACAAGCGATGACTCTACCTGTGTTCTTTTATGGAAAAACATATTTGTGCAAGGTCAATAGATCCAAAAACACAATTGGAAAAAGTTTCACTTGGACTAAAGGATGACTAAACTAGATTTTGATGATCAAAGATTATATGGTGAATCATGATTAAGGGGTTATGACTACATACATATCCAAACAGTTTTCCATACCTCTTTTAAAACAAACATTTTACTACATTAGGCAACATCCCCATAAATTCCACATGTTGTGTTATCACTCTCCAGAGTGTCCAGAGTTGATACACATACATCCTCAGTTTCTTTCCTGTTCAGTGACCATCTTCATCATATATCTTTTCTGAAAGTGTGTGATAACTGCTATTGAGGTAATTAACAGGGTTCATAAGTCATTTTGATGACATGTAATTAAACTTCAGTCAAGACTTCTCTTGATTCAGACAATTCAGCTATCTAAAGCTATGTCTAAAGGTATAGACATATATATATATCTATATATATATAGATATATATATATAAACCCCTTTTTCTCAAAGCCTGAAAAAGTACATGTAGTTGCCAATCAATTGTTTCTTTTGTCATATAATACTTTGAGGATTTTCAGTCTGAGTTAAGGGGCCTGTAGGTGCTGTATTGGAGCCAAATGATAGTCAATCAATCAATCAATCAAACTTTATTTATATAGCACCTTTCAGACAAATTAAATTGCAGTTCAAAGTGCTTCACAAGAGTGCAGAAAAGTTATTGATGAAAAATAGTTTATAAAATCATTGAGAGACTAATGCACGCAGATAAGAATTTAATAAAATTATATGAAAAAATAAAATATGACACATAAAAACAATAAGATAGTAAAATTAATACATGGGAGAAAAATATTTAAAATATTAGTAAGATAAAAAAGACAATACAATAATGTTAAGATTTGAATTTATATAAAGCACTATATCAAAGCCAGACTGAATAAATGAGTTTTAAGACTGTTTAAAAATCTCAATATTCTCGGCTCCTCTCAGACCCTCAGGAAGGTTGACCACAGTCTCAGCGCGTAACAGCTGAAAACAGTATCACCAAAGGTTTTTGTCCTGCTCTGTGGAACAACTAAAAGAGAGGAACTGGAGGATCTGAGGGGTGGTACTGGTACATAAGCTAAAATCATATCTGATAGGTATTCTGGTGCAAGGCCATGTAGTGCTTTAAAAACTAATAAAATACTTTATTAAGAAGCAACCCACACAGGTGCACTGCAGGCGGTTTAAATGCATGCGATGAAAGCAGGTAAGCGAACTGGTTCAGATCAAACTGATTCTACCCGACTGAAAAAGCCTCTGCATCTTTCTAATAAGCTCCACGAGCAGAAACGTGCACAAACTAGGCTCAATATTGGAGATGCTTTTGAAAAATGATAAGACGTTAGAACACAGAAAGGTTCAAGACTGATGCAGAGCTGGCTAAACACTGAAGCTTCAGTGTCACTAACATGGCAACCTGCATAAGGATTGATAATAGGGAGTAGGGGGCCAGGAAGACAGCTCTATTCAATGTTTTAAATTTACATTTAAGAACCAATTTTAAACCCTACATGTCAGCGTGACAGCGTTAAATATTTCTGCTTTAAATGACAATCTGGACTATCTCCATAAGACTACACTCAAGCCATAATTATCTTCTCTGTCGCATGTTGCACATGCAGACTGACTGGGCAGGTTGGACAGGTCAGGGAGCAACTTGCTGTGGCATGTAATAATGGAAAAAAAATATATATATATTATTGTTAAACACATACACAGGTGCTGATATCAAGTCCAGTTTGTCAATGGCCCTCTGGGCCACTAGTCCAAGAAAAGTGACTCCTGTCGGCCATTTGTAAAACTCCCAGCCAAACAAAAAACTTTAAAACCTTCAGGTAAGAATCCCATTGTTGAATTGTGAAGGGACCTTCACTACCTGCTGTATCTCTTTTTCTGTCTGCTGGGACAGATTGTCCAACCTCCATCTCTGAAGGTCTTTTATTTAAACTCTGACTTTACTGGCCACAGAAGCAGAGCTCATTTGGTAGAAGAAAAGGTGACCTCATATGTGGCAGATTGTGCTCTGCTGGCCACACTGTCCTGCTAACTGTGGAAGGTAAGTGTAGGATTTGTATGTATGTATTTGTACAGTATGTAAACTTGCCAATGCTCATATTTCTTATTTCTTTATGAAGATGAAATTAATGTCTGGAAATGTTTGTTTTTGAAATTGAGCAGACTGTCTATTAGCAATGGGGTAGGCCTAATAAAACCTAATGTTTTACAAAGTAGTTGTAAGCTGTATGCAGAATCATGAACCAAAAGAAATAGACAGCTGAGACCTGATTTTGAGTCCCTAATCATGAGCCAAACTTTATTCTCAACAAAATGTACATCAAGTTTTGTTCTTCCATCAGGTTACGGTTTTGCAATATGTTACCAGTTTGTTTTTTTCAGCAAATGTTAAATGAAACAGGTGAATGGAGCTTGTGTATTGATTTTAATAATAAAGATACATCTATTGTTTAGAAAGCAATATCATGTGCATTTGAATCCATTCCTATTTTTGTTCAATTCTCGTCTCCTTTCAAACAGATGGAGCCAGAACGCTGCTTTGAGTCCAGAAACACTTCATGTTTGAAGTCAAGTTATCCCATACCCCTATGTGTTACCCTCTACATCATTTTAGGGGTCATAATCATCCTAACAGTGTGTGGAAACCTTTTGGTCACTTTCTCAGTGGCTTATTTTAAGCAGCTCCATACTCCAACAAATTACCTGATTTTGTCTCTGGCTATGTCTGACCTGCTTTCAGGGATAATAGTCATGTTCCCTTTTATGATTCAAACAATTGAGTCTTGTTGGTATTTTGGCGACTTCTTCTGTAATGTCTACATGAGTTCTGCTTTCACGCTGTGTACAGCATCAATTATCACTCTTTCCTTCATATCAGTTGACCGATACTACGCTGTTTGCCAACCTCTGCTTTACAGAAGAAAAATATCAGTGAATGTTGTTTTGATCATGATCCTGATCTGTTGGAGTTTTTCAGTTATTTTAGGTTTTGGAATTATTTTTCTGAAGTTAAATATTTTGGGTGTTGAAGAGTTTTATTATAACCATGTTGTATGTGAAGGAGGATGTGTTATGTTTATGAGTGGAGTGTCTATTACTGTCTTCTCAGTGATTTCTTTTTACTTGCCCGGAATAATAATGCTCTGTGTTTACCTTAAGATTTTCCTTGTGGCACGGAAACAGTTTCGCAGCATACAAAATGCAGGATGTGTGAACTCAGTAAAAAAGTCGAACACAAGCCAGACAAAAGCCACTAAAACCCTGGCTATTGTAATGGGGGTTTTTCTGTGCTTTACGACTCCATTTTTTGTTTTTAACATAATCAATCCTTTTATTAGTTACTCAAAACCACCAAAATTTACTGTAACACTTACATGGTTGGCATACTTGAATTCTGCTGTGAACCCTATGATATATGCATTCTTTTATAGTTGGTTCAGAAAGGCTTTTAAATTATTAACCTCAGGTAACATCTTTATATATGGCATTTCTGAGACAACACTTTTCACTGAATAAACTGATGAAAATTTAACAATTTGGGAATTCGGTTTTTATTTTTACAAGCAAAATGTTTATGAAATTGTTGTAAATGTGCCTTTTGAATCAATTAGATCTGCTAATGGATCTTTTGGAAACAACTCGGACCACCACTGATTTAGTTGGTTGACCAGAATGCAGTGGATCTTTCTGCTTTCAAGAATATGACCAGAAGCTCTGTCATTTTAGCTACTGTCATTTTAGGTGAAACATAGATTTGATTTTTCAACATTGCAAAAATAATTGTGTCCTAAGCTTTCGAGTTTTCTTAACTTGTGAATAATCCTCTTACTGAAATTCATCGCATTGGGTATCATTCAGTTAGAAAGTTAGA